AATCCCAGCACTGTAAAGGAGTTATCTTCTGAGACTGAAGGGGAAAATTAAAATTTTAAATAAAAGCCTATTCAGGATGCCTGCCAAGGCCAAGCAGATGTGTCTGACAGGCCTGATAACAGAACACTTCTCCCTTTAAACCAGTCTTTGTTGCCTTTGTAACTGATGACCTTGCAATGTAACTTCTAATGTAATGGGGTGCTTCTTTGTGTAACTTATGCCCGTTTAACAAATGGCCTTGTAATGTAACTGAGATATGTATACTCCTTCAGCAACCCATGATGTCACCCAATCCTCCCAGTCATATGCACCAAATCTGCCACTGCCACCAATATTGCCCTCTGTATATGTCCCCTCAGTCTTCTGCCACCTTCTGCTGGTACACCTGCCTGGACCTACAGAATGTCTCCTGTCTTCAGTTGGCTCCTGTCAGCCAGCCCCTCTTCTCAAAGACCCCAGTTTGAACTCAAATGTCAACTGACCTGGACTCAACCTCCCAGAGGTTCAAAACTTGTTCCCCAGCACAAAATATCACTGCACTTTTAATTAATGACACCCAGGCTGCTTGTTGGAAAGACATAAAAGCTCTACTGCAATGTCTGGCAAAAACTGGTTATAAGAAAGACACTGCAAATTTCTTGGAGCTGCTGGCTTCTATAAAATCTGGATCCTTGAGTTCACCAAAACAATGATACTCAGACTGTCAGCCCCTGGGAGTGCCCAAGGGCCTACCTGTGCAAATACTTGGAGTTGGTTGCTAAGGGCTGCCTCCCCCCTTTTCCTTTGCACTCTAATAGCCACTGTCCTGCTGATAAAGAAACCTGACATGCTCAACCTAGGCCAAGGCCTAACTGTCCAGGTGCCACATGTTGTACTGGACCTAAAAATGAACCCCTTGACAGATGCTAAGTACTCCCTCTTTACAGATGGAAGTAGCCCTGTTGGGAATGAAGTCTGACAGGCTAGACATGCTGTGGTCACCTTGGATAATGTTATTTTGGCCAAAGTGCTCCTGCTACTACTTCCAGTTGCTGTTTGGAAATCTGCCACCAATGATGCCAAACCTGTGCTCCTAAGCCCTCTCTGGAGATCCAACTGACTGAAACATCAACCCCAGCCAGAAAGACTTTAGCTGGTACTCCTGGAAGATCAGAGCCAGACCTTCCCCCACGTATGTTCTACAGGCTCAAGCCACAACACTGGCACCCATCCCCCTGCAGCCAGTTCAGGCTACAGCATCTGTGTCATTGGCCCTGACTTCCACTGGGATATACAGATAGACTTCATTAAAAATAAAATCTTATAGGAGTTACAAATATCTGTTAGTGCTCATCTGCATCTACTCAGGCTGGCCTGAGACATTATAATAAAAGTTTGTAGAGGGCTGGGGATATAGCTCAGCAGCACAGCATCTGCCTGGCAAGTGCAAGGTCCTGAGTTCTAGTCCCAGTACCAAAAAAAAGTTTGTAGGGTCCTGCTGTAAAAAATCATACAAGCTCTAAAAGAGTTCAAGAACAGCTTGTAACCAGCTCCATAAAAATTTAGCTAAAAGACCAGCTATGCCTGTAGACACCCCTGCACACATATAACAGTGCTGGGATTACAGGCGTGCACCACCATGCCCCTTGGAAACTCTTGATCTAAATAAACTCTTGTGTTTTCTACGTTCCTTTGTCTACTCATAAATTGCTTTTCTG